CAAGACAAAAATGTGCTCTACCAAATGGTGGCGCTGGCTGTAAAGGGTTGGCCAGAATAAATTCAAACAGACATTAAAAACTACTCTGACTTAGACAAAGACAGTTCGTATCATAGCACAGGAAGTTAGTTGGAACGTTTCTGGTGTTACGTCCCCACTAAGGTCTAGGGGACCTGGAGACAATAACATTCAACCAATAAAAATGAGGGAGTCAGTGTAACAGTTGACAAAAGGTTTATTTTGTGTAAACCCAGAATCGAACAGACATAATTGAAACACTCCGTTGGTGAGGGGAGGAGGAGGAGGAGTCAAAGGATTGTGCCAAACAAAAGAAACAAGCATAACAAAACCAGGCCTCTCTCTACATCCATCCGTTGAAACCAAAACTCAAACAAAAAAACCCTCACTAACTAAACTACAAAGAATTTGACAAAACAATATACAGGGGTGGCAACAATCCGCTAACCTAGTGTGTCTAAACATTAGTTAGCTACGTGGTGAGAAATGTACAGGGTACCCCAGACTTACCTAACTCCTCCACCTCTCAACACACACTTTCAAAAAGGTCAGACAAAACAAAGAGAATGAGTTGCTAAACACTGCAGGCTCCTTCATCAGCAACAGGCCCAGAGTGAGAGAGAGAGAGAAGACTTCCTGGGTGCCTCCTTTATGGTCGGCCCTGGCTGCTGATAGGCCAGCTGAGGGTGAGAGGATCCAATCAGCTATCAGATTCAGGTGCACAGGCAGATTCCGATCGGCTGCTGATTAGCTGTGCAGAAGACAGGGAGAAGAGAGAAACACAGGAGGGAAAGAAAACCACACAAGTACAGCCTGCCTGGCACGTAACATGTGTGCAAATGAAGCCTTGAGAACCCTTTTGCAAGCCAATTGGTTGGAAAGATTCATAAAGCTTAATGCCACCATCACTAGTGTCTTCGCCTGTTTATCTCACTGTGTACATGTGTGAGCCTCGTTAACCTGCACCCAACCTACCAAGACACACCTGTTTTCCATCAGCTAATCATCCCCCCCTCACCTCATCCCCCCTCACCTCATGGCTGCAATCAGCTCATTAACCAACAGCAGATCGACCCCGGCTTTACTCTTCGTCAGATAATTGCTTTGGCCTCAGTGGATGTTACGCTCAGGTTTCTACTAGCGGATTCTACTTGTGCAATTTGTCTAATATTTGTGGTACCATGTGTTTGTTGGATCATATGTGCTTGCCTGCCTGCTTGTAAACTCTGCTTCCTCTGGAAACCCGCAACTCTCCATTCCCCACTTTCCTTCCTGCCTTTCTCCAAGCATTCACTAGCCTTGACATCTCCTGCTTCTGTAACTCCTGCAATAAACCTGTTACATGTAATCTGCCTGTTCCTGTTCTGTGTCAACTTGTCAACAACACCCAACAGTCCTCATATGTCAACTCACACCTGTCTTCTCATGTTTCCTCCTAAATTAAACTGCGGTGACCTGATCATTGAAAAAGTCAAGGTTCTTCTGTCAGAGGAGACAAGAATGAGATGACTGGATTAGAAAGTCAAAGATATCATTCAACCCTGCTTTCTCTCAATAGCATAGGTGTGAAGTTCTCCAACAGCTACTGGTGTAAGTGGAACTTCACTGGGTGTCAGGTGTGTTATAGATAGTGCAGTGCCAGAAAAATAAATGGGGAAGGGTTGAAGATAGATTTAGTAAACAGAGCAGTGAGCATTTTTGTTTGGACACGAGGAACATGTGCAAACAGCAAACAAGACGTTTGTTGATGCAGGCCGAGTTCAAAAAGTGTTTTTCAATTTACAATAAACATTAAAAAAAAAATTGTACCCAAACACATACACAGGGCCGCCCCTTTTTATGATGAGGCCGGGGGGCAAGTGGAGCCTCGCAGCAGCGAAACTGTGGCGCGCTTACACTGTAGATGCGCCGCATTTGCGCTTCAGATGAGGCTCTCTCCGCAAAATGAAGTACCCTCCGCGAGGTGAGGCCCCCTCCGCGAGGTGAGGCCCCATGCAGTCTGCGTGATCTGCCTGTAGGGGGGGGGCGGCACTGCACATACAGTATATATAAAAGCCTGTAAAGATGCAACAGGCCAACATGCTGACATATACATTACCAGGAGAAGGGCATGCAATGCAGGGCCTAAATCTGTCTTTTTCTGACTCAGCATTAACAAGCCCAGCAATGTGGGACTCAGTGGAAAAACTGCATGGAGTTTTGAGCACCAAACATATTGTATCAAAGATTGCATAAAGTAACACAAAGCTTAGATACTATATACATATATATTGATGCTGTCCCTCTGCCATTGAGCAAGACAATAACACCATAACTGCAGCCATGTGGCAACTGCATGGCTAAATGTGGAACACTGTTGCTGCACCGAGCAGCTCCTATCATGAAGCTTTGAAACAGACACTTTTTTTAATGTTGTTGACATCTTTCGATAAGTATCCCATGCAACACAAATATATAACTCCTGTAATTAAGTATCATGATAATAATCAGTGATTGAAAAGACAACTTACAGAAGCTATTGCAAGGTGTTACTTCAAAGTTTGCAAGATGAAAGATATTTAAGTATGTTCTTGTTTTGCCCTAAGGAACATGAACTGGTTAAGTCTATTTTACTTATTTTTCTTAGATAAGCAACATCTTTTATATGAAATACTAAGTCATTCGAAGTCAAATGTTATGAGTAACACATTNCAATATTAAAATAATAAAAGGCTTGCAATATTTCAGTTGATTTGTAATGAATCCAGAATGTATGACATTTTTGTTTTTTTAATTGCATTACAGAAAATAAAGAACTTTATCACAATATTCTAATTTTCTGAGACAGTCCTGTATAATATCTGTTTACTGCTGCAAAGTAGGCCACATAGCCGGTAGGTATATTCTTGTAGTAATAAGGGTGATGATAACATGTACAGTCACTTAAAGGTAATCTATTTCCAACAAGGCACTCCTTTGTTCAGAGCGGCAAACATTTGGGTAGACATCTTCAAACAGAGCTATTTCAGAGTACTGTGCTGTGGATAATTGGGCAAAAAGTGTCTTAATACTGCAGAGGTTAAAGGAAATAAAAGGGAGAATACCTGGACAGAGATTACTTTTAGGTATTGGAGACTGACAAAAAAACTCTCACATATATTGTTTTTCATTTAAATACATTAAATGTGAAAACTCAAAAAGACTAAGGTGTGGATATTTATGACTGAAAATCTGTTAAAACACTTTTCATGTGACTATTATGTCT